TCCACCCCTCAATATAGTGAAACCCTTATTTTTGCCACTTCAGACATTGTAAAAAAATGATTGATAAGAAGAAGAGAGAAGTATGAACGTAAGTTTGAAGATTGAATGAATTTTCATAAAATTGAAAAGCCTTTAAATAAGGCAAGTCCGAATGTAAAACGTAGTACAATACTACGTTTTATGTATTGAATTATTGTTATGTCATTTCATTATTGGTGCACCAAAAACCAGAGTAAAACATAGTATAATACTGCGAACTGCTTTATAAAACGCAGTATTATACTGCAAATTACAAAAAAAATTGAAGTAAAACGCAGTGCGGTACTGCGAATTACAAAAAAAAATTAAAATAAAATACAGTATGGTACTGCATTTTACTTTAACGGACTAATATCCATTAACGTAGTTCGCAGTATAGTACTGCGTTTTACTCATTTATGTAACTTTTTTTTGTAAGCAGTATAAAAGTGGTTTTTGTCCAAAAAAACATCAAAAGCGTTTTGGACTCGCGGGGAATGGCTTTATCTTCCTCTTCTTATTCAAAATCCTTCTGCCTCCTAAAGAAGATAAAGAAGTGACTACAACAACAACAACCCGGTATAATGCCACTAGTGGGGTCTTGGGAGGGTAGTGTGTACGCAGACCTTACCCCTACCTGAGGTAGAGAGGCTGTTTCCAATAAAAACTCTGGCATCCTTCCCTCCAAGAACTCCCCACCTTTGCTCTTGGGGCGACTCGAACTCACAACCTCTTCGTTGAAAGTGGAGGGTGCTTACCATCAGAGCAACCCACCTTATCATAGTAGAAAAAGAAGTGATTATAGTAGAAAATGGCATTTCCAGAAAAATGCAAATCCCAACAGATGTGAACTAACGCAAATGCCACAACATGAAAATTTTAATCCAGATGAATAGCGACAGAATCAGATAATAAATTTAGCTGACAGCAGTGCCCTAATTCCATACAAGTGTAAGTTTTGTTGTATCCCCGAGTTAAATAACATGGAAGTGAAGAACAGAGATTGTCCATTAACTGGTCTTATACTCGCATGGTACTCGAACTAAGTGGATCTAACTCTCAGCTTCATAAAAGTGCAAAACAAACCTTCCAAACCAGGCAAAACCTCCACCTCCTCAGCACCCCCCCCCCCCCCCCCCCCCTACCACCACACAGGAGAGAGAGAGAGAGAGAATCAGGATCAGTAACCTATTCATTACAAGATATTTTACAATATTCACATATGAATGTAACATTACAGAAAATCGGGAGCAGACCTTTCGTACTCTTCTCTCCAGAGTAATGTTGATTTGATACTGACATATCTGTTACTGGCTATAATTCCTTTTACTTTGAAAAAAGTTGTGTCAACCTGAAAGTAAGCTAAATATATCAGTGCTTCCGCTTCAAAAATGTTCTCCGCATACGTTTCAGACATGTATCATTCAGGATAGCATGACTTGTTTCACGTTAGTGGTTGGAGTTCTTGTTCGCGCACGACGGTCTCAACACGTTCATATGGAAGAGGCGATTCTTGCCTCCGCCTCCATATCAACAATCCTAAGAAAGCTGATAATCCAAGTATCAACACAACTGAAAATACTATGACAACGATCAGGTAACTTTGCTGCCATCCAGTCCTATATCATTGCAACAAAACAACGGCAATCAAGACCTTATATCACATGAATCAATCTTTAAAGTGGAATGAGTTGTGGGCACAGGATACCAAAGATTATGACCCTTCTAGCGCTATTTTTCTTTAGTCAAAATAACAACCAATTGTGAGCACCTGTGCTAAATGATTTCCCCTTTTTATCAAAGAATAAAATAAGTTGCAGTTTATGTAAGAGATGCTTTAAAGAACAAAAGATGCATGTCAAGAAGTTCCCATATAGGAACACCACAGATAAGGAAAGAAGTGACAATGAAATCTTAGCCATAGCTTATTTTACTATCTTCTGCTTAGCCTTTATTATTCTGTCAACATGATGCTGATGTTCCATTGCAGCATCGTGGGGGACAATAAGACATCATTTGTTTGCACTTAATGGAGGTCTGAATCTTAGTAATTCTGATCTATGTCATTAAGTACATTTGTTTTTTAGATCTGAATCTTAATAATTAAGATCTTAACCATTAAATCTGTTTTTTAAATTTTATAACCACTTAATGGGTCTAAATAGATCTTAGTGATTAAGATCTCTAACATAGTCTTAATATCATTAAGATGTTACACATTCAAGAAGTTATGTAAAAAAATGACATTTCACCATAACTCCTACACTTTCGCCACTAACCACCCCCACGCTACCATCACTGTTCCCCACCATTATAGACTACCACCACCAATAGCCACACCACCCATTACTACCAATCCTCAGCCACATCCACCATCGCCGTCAAGCATGAATGTTAGTTGTCACCACCACTAGCCATCATTTACAACTATCACCACCAATCACTATTACCACAACAACCATCGATCATCGCTATCATCCACCACTATATATCACCCATCGCAGTTATCCGTCACCACCACCATCAATCACCACTGTTAGCTACTTCTATTATCCACCATCTACTACCCATAATCACTACCATCAACCAACACCAGCTACTACCCAGTCAGCACCCACAACCACAACCTTTAGCCATCACCACCACCAACCACCATATAATTTTTAAAATATTTTACTAATATACTACTAAATTAATTTGTTGTTGTTGTTGTAATATTTAAATAAAGAAAATTTTTATACATTCAGATGTATAGAGAAAACAAACAGCCATAATTATTCAGTACTCAGATCTTAATATAACATCTTAATATTCATATGTGAATTCAGATTCAGGCGTTTTAATCTTATTACACATATTAATATTCAGATGTGTATTCAGATTCAGACGTCTTAATCCTAATAAAAACAAATGAGGCCTAAAAATACTATACGAATGTTCTGTCAATTAATACTCCAGTACCTGCTCAACACTAGGAGTGTTCATAAAAATCCGAGAAACCGAACCAAACCGTAAAAAAAATCGATACTTTCTCGGTTCAGTTTGGTTTTGGTTTTGAATTTTAAAAACTGACCAAATTTGGTTTGGTTTTGGTTTTAATCAAAAATAACCAAAAATTACCGAACCAAACCGAATATAGAAGTAGCTATTTAAAATTTATTATTATACCTATGTATATGTATATTTATAAACAAAGTTTCTAAAATTTTATGTTACATTTTAATAGTTTGCACTTTTAGTCTAGTTCTTTGCTATTGTGATAATCTAGTTTTTTGCCCTTACATTCTAGTTTGATTAGTAGTTTTCTTTTGCTAAGTAGAAGAATTTATTTCATGTTAAAAATAATTTATTTTTAATTGAGTCCTAAAATTATTCATCACTATTTGGTTCAATTATCATCAATATATATTGGTAAATGATAGATTTATCAAATAGCAACTGGTTTGACAGTACAATGTTGAAAATGTAGTGGCCGGAATATGTGTTTGGTAGTGTATATCTCATATTTAAGAAAAAACCGATAAATAACCGAAAAAAACCAAAAAAACCACATACACTGAATCGATAAAAACCGATTTAATTGGTTTGGTTTGGTTCCAATATTTGAAAAACCGACATACTTGGTTTGGTTTCTTTTTAAGAAAAAACTTATCAAAACCGAGCCATGAACACCCCTACTCAACACATAGGAAACTCTAGTTCTCGTCAACGTATTGGAGACAAATAGAAGGTCAAGTAGCCAGGCAGCGAAGAATATGTCTTCTCCGCATTAACAGAAATCTTTAAAATAGCAATGTAGGCAGTAGTTAACATGTACTCATTTTATGAGATGAGTATTTGTCAATACAAAATGAAGAAATGGACAATAAAGTGACATCAAAAAAAAAAACGAGGGAACTCCAAACAACAAGTCATGCCCTCAACATGTACTTTTTCAAATCGAATTAGGTGACTTTTCCAGATTAACAGAAATCTTTAAAATAGCAACTCAAGCAACAGTTAACATGAAGAATTGGACAAGAAAGTGACATCACAGAAAAAAGGGAGGGAGAGAGAGAACTCCAAACAACAAGTCATGCCCTCAACATGTACTTTTTCAAAACGAATTTGGTGGCTTTCGTTGCAGTGTTTTCCAATTGGAAAGCGCAAAAAAAAGGTACATGGGAATGAAGCAAAAAACGAGAAGTGAAGAGCGTGCTTCTTCGAAATGAAAACACAAACAAAAATTAAGAAAATACCAAATTAATATGAATTTAGTACTACAAGAATCATATTGCTATTAATCTGATTTCAACATCTAATAAAATAGTGACATTAATCCAACACCTTAAAGTTGAGATTTAAGAACCAAACACTTCATGTTTGGATCAACCCGGCCTCATTGTTTGAAGCGCATTTCTCTAAAGTGCATGGCTTCACCCCTGAAGCGATAACTTGTTGCTTCACAACACTTTATCGCTTAAAGCAACAAAGTGATGGCTTCTACTAACATTGTTTCTTGTTTTCTTCAAGTTCCAATTTTTGGTTAAATTTTCCATTTTTTATTTGTTTATCCTTGAAATATGCTTTTTTTTAAAAGAATTTTTTTGGGTTTTCTTTAATTTTGTGCAGTTATGTGGCACTTTCTGCTCTCGATGCATGTTTCTTCACGTTAATTTTTTTTATTTTTTGTTCAATTTTATGTTCAGATATAGGTTTTGCATTTTTTGAGAAGAAAAAGAAAATGCAAAACCTATTTCTGAACATAAAATTTTAAAAAAAAAACAATAGGTTTTGCATTGAAAGTGTTAATATTCAGAAAAATGTTTCGTGGGTTTTGCTAATTTTATGTGATTATGTGGCACTTTGTGTACTTGATGTTTCTTCAAGTTCCAATTCATTTGTTAATTTGTTACTTTGTCCGTTTAGCCTCAATTTTTTGCTTCTTATCAGAAAAGGTTGTGGAATTTGGTTACTTTTGTGTGATTTTATGGTATGTTACATTTTTTTGTGTCTCGTGGCACTTTAATTTTCCTGAAGTTCCAATAAGGTGTAAATTCACAGGGTAATGGAACTAGAGATACGTCCCGTCCACTCTTTATTTCTTACAAAATTTTAAAATTATAATTAGGTCTTCTTCCAATCTAAACATGTTATGCATGTCGCAATGACTTACTTTAGTTGAAATCCAAAGATAACTTAAATTTGGTTGGCCTTCATCAGGCACATGGACATGTTTTTTCATTTATCGAAGCCCAGTATTCATTATTTGATTGATAATTATTTGCTTTGACTCTTAATCTTAATTAAGAAGGCGGCATTCTTGCTTTTTTTAAAGCTGAAATTTAAAGATAATATGTTGATAACTCAATAAGGTATCCAAGGACTTTTGAGTAGTATAATTTTATGTTTCACTACGTTGGCTGGATAACATCTACAATCATTATTGTTTTATTTTAAACTAAATTATATTGCGGATCAGCGGACTCATGTCGCCCATACTCCAGGGCAGTGGCCGCATGTCGATCAGGCTCCGGGTGCTATGCCATTGCAGCCCGTGATTGTGGATCAGTCTGAGGTCAGTCCAGTGGCGTCACAAAAGGATCAGAAAAGGTTAGAGAGGTTCAAGAAGTATTTTCCTCCGACTTTCGGTGGCGCAGCTTCTAACGATGCACAGGGCTTTCAAGACCAGTGTCACTGTATCGTACGCACTATGGGCATAGTGGAGTTGAGCAGGGTTGACCTTACTACTTTCCAGCTGATAGGGCTTGCATATAGATGGTGGCCGGCTTATGAGAAGCGTAGGCCAGCTGGCGCAGCACCACTTACTTCGGCTCAGTTCACTGATCTGTTTTTGAGGTAGTGAATAAGAAAGAAAGAAACGAACCCTTTAACCAAGCAGCAAAATAAGTATGAAATATTTGCCCTAAGAAGTAGCGACCATTTCATTTTATCCAAGTTTAAAAGTCGACTTTAAAAATAAAAATAAAAAAAAGAAGCGAACGCTTTTATCGCTACACGTTTCAATCGATTCACGCTGCTTGGACAGAAACGTTCGCTTCTTCCACCATGCCTCGCCTTAGCCCTTTGAAGCGCCCAACCCCCACCTCGCTTTACGCTTAAAGTGATGAAGCTAGCGGTTTCCCCAACACTGACTTCAAGTGTATAGAAAGGTTTCTGAGATTGTCCCTGAAGGCTCCTGCTTCACCATAAGCTTCATTATCAGTGTTGGAGTGTGCATGGTCGCTAGGATGAAGTGGTGGAGTAGTGTAATTGTTGGGAAGTTGTTGCGAGACCACAACTTGATTGATGGTGGTTGATGGTGATTGCGGACGAAGCATCAGAGACTTGCTTATTTAGAGCAAGAACATGCTTATATCCTCTAGCTTTCCATACTTAAAGAGGCTGGCTTTTTGTTCTTTCTGCAAGCCTTCCGAGTTGGGCCTTCAGTATAATAGGCATTATCTGCAATAAGGTCCAATAAGATGTGGCCCTTATAACTCCCATTAAACGAAGCGAGTCAGGCGTGTATCGTTTTGGGTGTGGACTCCGCAAAATTTGAAATTAAAGGTAGACCTGGCCTATCCTCCCACTACAACAATTGGACGTTGCCTGTGTTGATTACCCCAATGCACTCTCGCCCTTGTACTAGTCAACAAAAGCTTTTTCCATTTCTCCTACAGGGACTATCGAAGCTTCAATTGGTTTCGGCATGGCAATGACATCTTTTTTATTGAGATTTCATACTTCCAATGTTCCACTTCAAGCACAAACCTTTTTGAGCATTTGGTATCCGATTTGCTAATACAAATTCTCGCAAAAAGAAAATGGCTCTAGTATTCCCCATATACATCTATTCCTACGAATCCACCATGATGGTCGTTGAAACCATGCATGTACCAAAAGCTTTGATAGTCAGTTTAGTGCCCACCAAAGGCCACCACTCTAATACTAGTCGCCCACCATTCCAGAACCAGTTTCCTACCTTGACCCTAACAGCTTCTTGTCTCGAAGCTAGTTCGAACAAGCATGGTGTGAGAGAAGGATTGACATTCACTCCAGCACAAATCTTCTGCCTCTCTTCCACTCGTTCAAAAAAACATTTTTGTATCAGTTGGGGGTGGGGTATGGTTGAACGGATCACCAAATATACCAACTAGACATCTCGAGAGGAACTGTTGAACACCGTTGTCGGTCCCTGAGCTGATGTTCAACACAGTATCAACTAAGTTGGGTGATCCACCATCTCCGTCCAGTGAGAAATCATAGTCGTATCAGCATATAATCTCGTCTATGTGATATTGGTCCTTATGAATCATAGCCGTATCAGCATATAATCTCGTCTATGTGATATTGGTCCTTTTGAATCAGCTTGTTGTAAGTTTGTCAAGAAAATGTAAAATCTGCAGCTACATCTCTCAATCCCCAGTTGTAATCTGGCTCCGAAATGATAACTGTCGGATTCCTATCTCCCAATCAGGCTTCACTTCGAGTGAATCGACCATAAATGTTATAGTTTAGATAGACTGTTTATACGTACGTTTGCATTTTCCTCCCCCATCGTCTATAAAAGTCCATGTTCCTTTTGATGCTTGTTTGAGAGCATCACAGACCCACCGGAGGTTTTCCTCGTCTATCTTGAATTTGCAGGAAAACCTTCTGCTTCTTTCAATTAAAAGAAACCACCCATTCACCTGAGAGGGAGATCTTGTCTTCCATGAGAACCAAAGTACGCTTGATAGGTTATCGGAAAAAAATCTCTCCGCCACATGTTTTGAAGAGAGAGAAATTCTGGGATCCTATCCCAAGTCAGAGAGAATTCCCAACACGTGGTTTCTTTTACATATTAAAAAGTTGCTCAAACAATAAAAAGTTCATCGTATGAGCATTTGACTACATTCTACCTATTTTAGAAGCATTCAGAGTGAGGTCATAAACATACAAATGAAAATATTTGATGGGCTTATGGAACAGCTTCCAATCTGCTCAAGCAAACTGCCAACCTCAACATGCCTCTCATCCAAGCCCAACTGATGGGGCCGCTTATCTTTCCCACTCTTTCTTATTCGTCATGGATAGCAAAAAGATAGGAATTTAGATATGACCAATAGATACCTAAGCTTCTGAGCACGCAAAACTAGTTAGAACCAACAGTTTGAAGAAATTGTACTATTTGACAAGGAGATTTCACTAGTTATTCTCTATTACTCTCTATGTCCTGGAGAAGGAGACGACAATAACTAGAAAAAGGGATGTTGAAGTAATGAAAGACCAGCAAGGATGAGGATAAGTATTGAAATTAATCAAAATACAAGAATGGAGACTGCCAGTATACCTTTTTGGCAGGTGTTCAATGCCCCATTCAAATATTCTGTAACTCCCAAATGTATCAGGAAGACGATCACGAGTTTCAGCCAACCGATGTATTATTTCCTGCAAAGAGATATGATGAATAAACAAAACTTGTTCATGTCAAGAAATAATCTGCAAAGATTGTGGAATTCAGAATCACCGTTGCAGCAGCATTTGACATATAATTTGCAGATCCTGCTGGAAAGATAGCCCATTTAACAAGGGAATCATTTCCTTTCGTTGAGAAGTTCATTAAGTGAACCTGCAAGGTATCTCACAATATGTAGAGCAGCATCACATAGGATAAGTTAAAATACAAGAGCAGTTAAGTAACATGAACAAAACTGAAGCGTTCAGCTTAAGATGAGATATAATCAGACAAATTTGGGTTTGGCCAAAATTATCGTTCTAAAACCAAAATACCTGTGAGATGTTAACGTCCAACTCTTGGGCAATGAGATGGGTAAGCTCTGTAATGCGAGGCTTCAAGTCCGAGTAATTCACACTCAATGACATATAAAATGTGATGAATCCAACTTTAATTTCCCCTGCAAATTGAGATATATGATGAATACGCAATGGAAACAACAAACTATAATTGCCAATATATACGCACTAGATGCTTTAACATGAGAGAAAAGCTGTAATTAACAGAGAAAGTGCCTAATTTTCAAAACTATCATGTCATTTCATAAACTTCACATTACAAAAGAAGTCAAAAGAGACACCTGTCTCATAAATAATCAAGAATTTGACCAAGATCCTAGTGCAGATATCACCTAGTGAAGGGAATTCGTCAATATCAGCTAGTCCAGGGAATTAGATGGTTGGCAAAAAGGTTGATACATGTCCGATTGGTGGCAATTGTTATTCCTTGAAATTGTTAGTCCCCTCAAGAAGTCCCGCATTAACCAGAGCTGTTTTCCAGTTCAATAATGTTAACAACGTCATGACATTATAATATTTCTTATGCCTGAAGGTGGTTCTCAGTAAGTTGGATGCTAGATCACAAGACAATTATCTCGGTGAAAGAATATGCAAACTCATGGTCAAATGTCAACATATATGCTGACATTGGTCAATAACAGAAAATTACAGAGCTAACATGTACAACAGCAATAGAGCTACAACCAAAATGTTGTGATTCAAAGTTGATTCAACATTTTCACAAAACAAACCAGAAACCAAAATGGATTAAAATGGAGGGGAAACGTAATAAGGCTTCAAATGGATTAATTTTTAGAAAAAAGATCAAGAACTCCCTAGTAGAAAAACAAAAGCTACGATTGACGGTCATCTTAAAGGATGGTTAAAGATGGTAGTATACTGTACCAGGTGCATTATACCCAGGAGATCCACTAGGAACCAGTGTAGGGGCCATACTTCCTGTGGAGTTTGTGTTATCCAAGCCAGAGGGCAATGCTGGAGGTGGAGGAGATGAATTAAGTCTGCCCCATAATTCGGAACAGTTGGTTTTCCAGAAACCGATCGTTTCATGCTCACGATCATAAGTGACAAGTGTGTTGCGGACAATAATCCCTGTGCAGTTAAAGCATGCATGTGACAACACGTACAACCAGGAATAGCTTGGAAAATAGTCCTTCCATAATGCTAACAGATTTTAAAAAAGAAATACCTCCAAGAAGAGTAGTTGCATCCTTCCCATTCTGAAAAATCCCTAGACAATAAGCACCACGCACCTTTGAATGCTTCATACCACAGAAGATCGAGTGACGAAATGGGGGGAATCAGTCAATACAAAAACATTCAAAAGAAATTGGAATCATTAGGAGACCAAAACCAGAAGAGTT